ATGAAACCATATCACCTGGTGTAGCTCGTGAGAAACTTTGAGGGTTTAATGCAGTCTGCAGCCCAAAAAGCATTGGGCAGCAATTTTTCAAATTTCTTTAGCTGGACTCCTTTTCTTTTTCATTTTTCTAAAGCTTTCCCCTTTTCCTGTCTCTTTTTTTTCCTTCCCACGTACATGCACATGCCCAGTCTGCTCGCCTCCCTGGGTTCCTGCATCTCCAGTTCTGTCTGCCCTCTGCTTCTCCTTGAAGACAGCAGTTTGTATTTCCCCATTCCTCCCCTAAATACACTTTTTTCTTTTTTTTTTTTTTTTTTTCTTCCCTTCTGTTTTTGGACACTAACTGCACTGAAGCCAGCCTGGCCATCTCTTGTCCTACAGTACTTCCATGGCTCAAGACAGATACTGCATCCGTCACACCAGCCAGAGAGGAGAGCTGCCCTCGTGTGCCCCCGCTCTCGTACTCGGGTTATGGTGTGCCTCTGTGGGCTGTCTCGGTACCGCAGGTCTTGAGCTATTGAATTTCAGCAGTGGGAGGGCAGACAAAAATGTTGTTCAGGACTGCTCTTTACCTTTGAAATTCTGTGCAGGATGAGAGAGAACAATCCCCGAGTGTGTAGCCAGACTGCCATCGCGTCCTTACCTATGTCTGTACTGCCGCGTAAGATTTCAGATACTGCTTTATCGGCACGCTAAGCAGCAGAAGAGAGCATGCGTATAAACATACCAGAACACAACAATGCGAGTAAACTATTTTCTGTTTTGCAGACCTCTTCTACACGTATACCAGGCACTGTTATTCCTCCTCCCTTGGTCCGTGGAGGGCAGCAGACTTCTTCAAAACTGGGAACTCAGCAAAACACGCAGATAGTAATGCCACCTCTTGTCAGAGGAGCACAGGTAAGTATTTACCTTGTGGTAGATCTGCTCTGTTTTTCCCTAATGCATCTTAACTATTTTCTTAGTCATCTTTCTGCTTGTCTGGAGGGAACCTATGAAGTTCTTGCTGGAATTTCTTAATATGGCCAGATGTATTGCTACTGAAAGATCCTCATCGTTCCAGTTTTGCATATTGTGCTGTCCTATAACGCTTCCAGTGAAGCAAGAGAAAATCCTGTGGTGATGCAGAGTACTGTCTTACCTGCATCGCTGCTTCCCTTAGCTGCGCCAAAGCAGTTTGTTTGCCTTTATTATGAAAGTTAATTTACAGGCTTCCAGCTTGACCCGCTTTTTAGGAGAGCGGCAGCAGAGGAAATGAAACGCAGTCCCTCGTTCTTCCATCTTTTCCCCTCATTATTCTTTGTGTCGTATCAATTTCACCTTTTCAAATGCTAAAACTCGCTTTTTTTTTCCTCATTGTGTCTGTCTTGCGATTGAGTAAGAGCTGCTGAAATGAGATAGTCGACTGGAAGTCTCACAGTGCTGCTTTGCAGGGTCTTTATCACCTATAACAGAAAACAGCGGTGTCACTAAAGGAGTAGGAAAGCAATGTTCAATTTGATACGTTCTTCTGAAATTACGACTTCCATGGGATACCAGGAAAAAAAATTTTCCTTGTTAAATGAGGATTTATTTTGCAGTAAAAGGTCTGCTTTTATCTGTTGCATAGCCAGCATTAAGGAGGAAGGTAGAGATTTGGTATTTCATTTTCTTTCTGTTCTGATTATGGAGAAAAACTCATTCTGAGAAATAGCTTTCCTAATGCCTTTAAAATGAAGCAGGCTTAACAGCTATACATTTTGAAAGAAATTTGACTCAAACTTAGAGGTTGGAGTTTTTTTGGCACAGCTGTTTTGGCCGTAATGTCATGGCCTCACATACAAGCATCTCTTTTCAGTTATGTTCTACTTGTTTCATTTTGACAGAGGGAAAGGGAAAAACATCGCATTTTGACGCAGATGTTAATTATCACGCTTTCTTTGCGTTCCCTGCCTTGCCTCATTTCCACTGTCTCATGTCATCCCATTCAACTCCCACCGCTTACTTCCCGCTGCCTAATCCTCCCCATCGTTCATGGCACCATTGCATCAGCCCATTTCTGTGTCTTCCCAGCAAATCCACAACATCCGACAGCACTCCAGCACGGGGCCGCCTCCGCTGCTGCTGGCGCCGCGGGCATCGGTCCCCAGCGTACAAATTCAGGGGCAGCGAATTATCCAGCAGGGTCTGATCCGCGTCGCCAACGTCCCCAACACCAGCCTGCTTGTCAATATCCCGCAGGTGAGTTCCGTAAGATGTTTTGTGCCGAACATAACATCCGTCTCAGAGGAACAGATAAACGGTTTTAATGACTGATTGTCTGGTTACTGTATCTTAAGTGGTGTGGCCTGCTGTCATCTAACTGATGCGGTTGTTTATTACTGCTCCTTGTTCTTCCCATGCACTCCCTTTCTCTGTTCACATTCACATAGGAATGAGGAAAAACATTACAGAGTATTGGGAAGAAGTTATGTATTTCAGTGAACTGAATTTTGTGCCTCATTTCACATTCGGTATTTCAATATGAAGCTGTCCATTAGAAATCCCCGCGCCCCCCCCTTCCTTAAGAAGTGTAAATGAGCGTTCTGGTAAACAGCTCAGAATGGGTTGGCGCTCCTGTTTGAAACACCAGGAGATACTGAAGCAGCAACTTAGCATCTACCCCTGATACTGGTGTACAAGTGTAGATAAAGGAAACAATTTAAAGTCAGTGCTTTGACAAAATCATACGGAAAAGGGCTCCTTTTGGGTTTGGTTTGTTTTTTTTCTTTAGAATTTCTAAAACTGCCTTATAAAAATGGTCAGTAAAGAAAAAGTTCTTTAGAAAAAGAATTAGAGCGTTAGATGACGGGTGCAGTGGTGCAGCGACCGTATGTACTGTGGTCTGCTTGGTCGCCTCCCGAAATCAGATTTAGAGGCAGGTGGTCTGGTCCAGCCCCAAGCAGCCAGCCTTCATTGCGCGCAGACAGCCCCGCGCAGCGGCAGAGCCAGCGCTGCTTGCCTCCCTCCCGTCCCTCGGTGGAGAGCAGCACGCGTCTCGAAAGCACCGAACCATCTGGCGTCCGTCGCTAAGCTGTGTCGTGTTTCCTCCCAGGCTTCCCCAACCTCAATCAAAGGTACAACAGTGACGTCTGCTCAGGCTAATGCTACTACGACCAGCGCTGCTTCCATCGTCAACTCCAACGACTCACCGGCCAGCCGGCAAGCCGCCGCCAAGCTCGCCTTGCGGAAGCAGCTGGAGAAGACGCTGTTGGAGATCCCTCCTCCCAAGCCGCCTGCGCCAGAGATGAACTTCCTGCCAAGCGCAGCCAATAACGAATTTATTTACTTAGTCGGGTTGGAAGAAGTTGTGCAGAATTTGCTGGAAACTCAAGGTGAGATAGCGTTAATATTGTTTCTCAAAGGCGAGGAGAGAACCTTTCCCGTCTGGATTTTAGCTCAATAGCAGGCGGCGAGGAGTTTCAGGCATCGCAGGATTAAGTTGACATACTCTGTCAAGTCTAGGGTTCACTTCTTTCAATACTTTTCAAACTGTTTTAACTGTAAAATTCTGAAATGTCACAACATTATGACATCTCATAGGCTAGGCACTGATTGTAAAGATTTCTCTAGCATGCATCCAGTTCTCCCTGGAGCTGTTGACTTCCTGTCAGCCACTTGTTTGTCCATTGCCACTAAATTCTCTAACCAGTATCTAAAGAAGTATCTGCTGGATACCTACGCACGCACTCACAGAAGCAAAAAGTTTAAAGATTTAGTAATGCAAAAGGCTTCAGACTGAGGGGAGTTGCGGGTGGAGGGTTTGCTTTGCGGGTTCTTTTTATGCTGGAATATTCTTGAGGTTTCTCAAGTATTATTTGTTCATAGAAGCCACAGGTGGAGGTGAGCTAACCTGGTTGTGTTCTCCAGGTAAAGTTTCGGTTCCTGTGTCATCTCGTGAGCCCTATATGTGTGCTCAGTGTAAGACTGACTTCACCTGCCGTTGGAGGGAGGAGAAGAACGGAACCATTATGTGCGAAACCTGCATGACATCAAATCAGAAAAAGGCCTTGAAAGCTGAGCACACTAACCGACTGAAGGCTGCCTTCGTAAAAGCACTGCAGCAAGAGCAGGAGATTGAGCAAAGGATACTGCAGCAGACTGCGTCTCCCGTACAGACCAAGTCAGACCCTATAGTGCAGCACCACTCGCTCAAGCAGGTAGGGCTCCGTCCAGCAGCAGCCAGGTCTCGGTGACGGTGGGGCAGGGGTCCCGTGGCTCCAAGCACAAGCGTTTGGTATGCAGGCACGAAACTGATGCATGAACTTGCTTTATTTAAGCTCCCCTGTGTGTGTGTTTGAGTGTAAGCTTAAAACCAGGCTGGTTAAAGTAGTTTTTGTCAAGTGGGGACCTGATACTTAAATTACGTTCTGAAGAGCAGAAGAGAGCGATGTTTTTCCTGCAGAGTCATTGTAATTATCCAGGGTGTTTAACTCATATCCTGCAAAGTCTGATCCTGAATTTTTTTTAGGATGTACCAAATGGAAAAAGGAGCTCCGGTGCCAAACATACAAGAGTGAATTGATCCAAGATAGGGAAAAGGGGGGGGGGGGGGGGAAGTTACCGTTGCGTCCACA